GGGCAGCTCAGGAGGACTACATGCAGTTGGGTGAGTTCAAACCCTCAACCGTTTGGTTTGTTGCCGGATTATTTAACCCTCTCTCCACCAAGATACCTTTAAGAACATGAAACCAAAAAACAAAAGTCAAGCTCAACCACTGTCAATTTGATTCTGACTCCTGGTGCTCCTCTGCTGGGTTTCTGAGGCTACAGACCTTGGGAGGAGGTGGCTGCCCATCTTTCTCCCAAGAAGCAGCTGGTGAATGGAAACGACTGGCTTTTTGGTTTGCAGCCAATGTCGAAGGCACGATGTCCCAAGGGCTCCATTTAACAGGCAATAAACCATAATAAAAGGGGTAGAAGGTGATAGTTGTTTTTAAGGCATTCTGTACAACGGAAGCATGACTAAGATTATGTGGGCATTCTGGGCTGTTTTCCTTGTGTGTACCATCGTATCAGATCTGACTGGTACAGGAGGAGGTTGCCCCTCCTCCAGCAGAGATTCAAACCGTGCATAATCTAATCAGGATTGCAGTGCAGCTTCTTGCCACTAGGCCACCAGAGCGCCCTTCGATGGTTGTTTTCAGTCACCACTGAATTGACTCCGTTGCGTGTTGTTGCAATGTGTGTAACAACAATAGCCATGCCTGGACCTGGCCCATCTCCATGGTCCCTGATATGTGTTAAGAGCCATATGTTCTTCCGTTGTCCGGAAGGTTTTAGAAGCTCTGTTATTTCAGAAATGGATGGCCAGACCTGCTATATCCATAAGCACTTTATTACAGATCTGGGAAGACAGTGAGATCCCCTCAAAAACTGCCTCCCTAGACCTGCTTCTAAATCTGTCTTAAAATGGGAACGCTGACTGAAACCTCTCCACCATGGGCAACCCTGCTGGTACTTGAAATACCAGTGTCCTGGCCTCCAGCATTACAGCAACGGGCCAGCCACCACGTTACACCAACTGACAGATGAGGTCTGTCTGGAAGGAAGTGCATGAGAGTGATTCTTAGAAGCAAGGATGGTGAAATGTCTTCTCTCTTGAAGAATAATCTCAGAAGGAACCAGTCCTCGAGGAGAGACAGCACGCTGGGCACGGTGGAGGGTCAGAGAAAGAGAGCAAGACCCTCCACAAGAGGGACTGACCCAGGGACTGCACAGTGGGCGTGAGTTTGGCAGAGATTGTGAGGATGACGCCGCGCAGGGCAAGGCTCACTGTGAACGGAATGACAAGAGCCAAAACCAAACTCACTGCCCTTGAGTCACTTCTGATACAGAGAGACCCTCCCTCAGTTTTCTGAGGCCGTAAATCTTCACGGGAAGAGACTGTGCATCTTTCTCCTGTGGAGCAGCTGGTGAATTTGCACCACTGACCCTTCTGTTAGCAGCACAATGTGTGACATACTTGGCCACTTTAGCAGACTAAAGTTGTTAACAACCTCAGAGCTCCTTGCAATAGGAAGGTGGTTGTTGTTGTTATGTGCCACCGAGTTGCTTGCGACTCATAGCGACCCTATGTACAATAGGCCTAAACCCTGCTCTATCTTGTGCCAATAGTACTGCCTCTGACACACCCATCCCGATTACCCCAGTCACTGAATCCATCCACCTCATAGAGGGTCTTCCCCTCCTGCGCTGTCCCTCCACCTTCCCAAGCATGATGTCCCTCTCCAAGGACCTGTCACTCCTTACAACATGTCCAAAGTATGTTAAACAGAGCCTCAGAATCCTTGCCTCCAAGGAGCCGCCTGGGTTAACCCTCTCCAGGATGAATCTGTTTGTTTTCTTAGCAATCCATGGTACCCTCAATCCTCTTCTCCAGCACCACAGCTCAAAGGCATCAATTCTCCTTCTATCCTCCTTGGTCATTGTCCAATTCTCTGATGCATAACAAGTGATTGCAAAGACCATGGCCTGTATCAGATGCACCTTAGTCTCCAGAGAGACACCATTGCTCTTCAGTACTTTGGAGAGGTCCCTAACAGCAGACTTTACCATCACAATAAGTCTTTTAATTTCCTGGCTGCTGGTACCGAGAGTGTTGACTATGGAGCCAAGTAGACTAAAGTTGTTAACAATCTCAATCTTTTCATCATCCATCCTGATGCTGCCAATTGGTTCAATGGTGAGAATCTTTGTCTTCTTGATATTGAGCCTCAATCCATATTGAGGAAGGTGATACATAAAAGGAAAAAAAAAAGAAACAAAACCATTACAGTGGCCTCTATTCTCAGAGCGATCCCCAAGGACAAAACAGCACTGCCCCACAGGGTTGACAAGGCTGTAATTCTCCACAGAAGCCCACTGCCACATCATTCTTCAGAGTGAGGGTTAATGGTTTTGAACTGTCTGCCAACCATTTGGTTTGCAACCAAATGCTCTAACCATGGCACTACCAGCACTCCTAAGAAGGTAATAAGACATGTGGAGAAACATAAGTCGAGGCAAAACAACAACAACAACAACAACAAAAAAAAAAAAACAGATCAAGAGCTGTAAGGGTGGGGGAAGTTGCAACTTTCAACAAAATGCTTAGGATATGCCTCATTGAGAAGGTGGCATTTGACCCAGCCGTGAGGATATATCTGAAGAACTTTCCACATGGTGGAGACAGTAAGTGCAAACGCCCTGAGGCAGTTCTGTTTCTTGGGTTGGAGGAACTGCTAAACTGTTAGTGTGGCTGGGAGGTGGTTGGGAGAGTTCAAAAGGGGTGGGATGGACCCCTGTAAGTGGGCCCTTTCGAGCAAAGCTGAGCTGCTCCTTTGGAAAGGATCACCCCGGCTGCTGTGGACAGATTCAATGTTGTCAGAAGGCAGAGAGGAGGCCATATGCTCATGCAGGGGCAAGATGGAAGCTGGGTTCTGGGGAGAAGTGGGCAGAGCAGGGGAGGAACGGCCAGGAGCCAGGTGCAGGACACATTAGAATGCAGAGACAGGACTGGCAGAGGGATGGTTACATGGACCTGGAGAAGAGCCTTCGAAAATGGCTGCAGGTGCCAGGAGACAGAGAAAGTGGCCATGTTAACAGACAATAAACCAGTTTATTGGTTTAATGTTCTTTATTATTGCAGCCAGAGTGCCCTTGGAGGCAAAGGTGGTAAAGCTTTGTCTCACATACTTGTCGCTAGGGGAGGCGAGTCCTTGGAGAGAGGCATCATTCTTGGAAAGGTGAAGGGATGGCAAAGGGGTGGAAGAGCCTCAAACAAGTGGATTGATACAGTGACTGCAGCAACGGACTCAAGTGTGTCAGAGATGAGGAGGCTGGCCCAGGATAGGACAGAGTTCAGATCTGTTGTTCACAGGGTGGCCATGAGTCCCACTTGATTCCACAGCACCTAACAACAACAGCATGATTGAGATGCCCGTCGTGACAGAATTTGGCGTGAATAACATGTGATACATGGACGAGGGAGGAGTAGCAGAGGCCCAGGGCAGCTGGTCCTTGACAGTCACAGTGCCAGATGTGGGAGCAGAGCTGTGTGTTCCCAGCCAGGCTGTTTCCCCCACATCCTTGTGACATTTATTACCCCTCCACTTGCCTTTTCTGGAAGTGAATCCTGGTGGCGCAGTGGTTGAGCACTGGTATGTTAACCCGTTTCAGTAGTTTAAACTCAGAAACCCTAGGGGAAATTCTTCTCTGACTTAAGAGGGGCTCTGAGTTGAAATTAACTCTATTGACAACAGGATTTAGTATTTTGGGGCATGGACCACTTTTCTGAGCATTCCCTTCTTCCACCAGCTGTTCTGCAGAAAGATGGGCAACCACCTCCTATGTGATTAACACGTTGCCACACACTTTTAAATTGACGACATTATTTTTTCAATTGTTTATGACTGCCATATGAAATTGAGCGTCAGTCATCTGTTTGGAAGTGAAAAATAATTAAAATGTGCAGGACGGCTATAGCCGTCATTTGAGGCAACGTGCTTCTCAAAAACCCACTAGCGGGTCAGCAGCTGTGGGTCGGTTCTGACTCGAAGGTACACAACAACAACCACATTCATCCCGTAGGCATGTACTGACACTTGCCGGGCATCATCCTTGCAGACGCGAACGGACAAACCTCCAGAGTAACCTGGACCTTTGCACCACCCGGGACCCCATCCCTGTGTTCCCGCCCGCCTCGGACGGGGCTGGAGTTCGGAGGGGCGGGGCACTGGAGGTCTTGAGGGCGGGGCTTGGAAAGGCTAGGGGCGGGGCTCTGGGAGGCCCGGAAGGGGAGGGGCTCTGGGAGGTCTGGAAGGGAGGGGCAGTGGAGTTAATGACGGGCGGGGCTCTGGGAAGCCCGAGGGAGGAGCTTTCGGGAGGCATGGCAGGGGCGTGGCTTTAGGAGGCCTGGCAGGGGCGTGGCTTTGGGAGGCCTGGCAGGGGGGTGGCTTTGGAAGGTCCGTAGGAAGATGTAGCGCTGACGTTGCTAGGGGCATTCTGATAGGTTCCTCCCGGAAGGTATAATGGCGCAAAGGCCCCGCCCCATGGAGCGCGCTTAGCGAATCAGGTGACTGAGCGAGCTGGCAGGCTCGGGAATCAGAACCTGCGGGGATCTGAGCGACCGGGCAGCGTGAGTGCGGCCGTCCCCGGTTCTGGGGCTCCGGGGGGTCCCGGTGCTGGGACGTTGGGCCTGCCGAGTTGAGGATGAGGGCCTGGATCCGGGGAAACCTCGTCCTGGCCCGGCGCCTCCGTCCCTGCTGGACATCGGCGGGCCGGCTGTCCTCCCGCCTGGTCCGGCGCAGGGCCGATCAGTGGCCCCCTTAGGCTCGGGGCTCCCCACCCCGCGGAGGGAGCGCGGTCTAAGGCCCAGGGACTCTCTGTTAGTGTTTCTGGCTGGGGAAGTGATTGCCCGGGGTGGCTGGGACGGTGAGGGCGGCCCAGGGCCCGCGTGGGGATCCCAGCCTGCAGCGCTCACCCTCGTGCGGTCACTCCAAGTGTTTTCCTAACTTTTCTCAGCTTCCAGACGCCAACACAGAAAGCGGGTGAAGACAGAGCAGCCCTGTCGGGCCCTGAGACGCTAGGTCTGGAGCAATGCTGCTAAAGACAGGTACCCACTGATGGGGTGGGCGAGAGGGTCAGCGAGGAGGGCGGTTGGCAGGAGGAACGCCTGGCGTCTAGACTTGTTCCTGCGAGAAGACTTGTTCCTCTCGAAATTAGAGGCAGCGAGGAAGGGAGCTCCCTAACCAGGAATTAGTTCCCCTCCAAAGAGAGGAACTTCCAGTCTCACCTCCCCCACCCCGCACCCCCAGTGCTTAGGCCCTGTCTTATGTACTGTCCACCTTGCCAGTTTACAGATAAGGAAACCTAGACCTCAGGGAAGGGCCTGGCCCACATGAGCTGGCTGAGTGCAGGTCAACCTAGCTGACCTGTGACACTTTTCTGAGGCCTGAGGGCCAGTGGTGTGTGTGGTGACACAGCCATGGGGTGGAGGGTAGGGGACAAGGGGGCCTGGGCATAGGCACAGTTGCCCCGGGACCCCATACCCTCCTGCCCTGCAGGAACCAGCAGCCAGAAGGAAACAAGTTACACCTCCAGCCAAGAATCCCATCCTCCGTGCAGACAGGCTCTGCAGGGTGGGGTGAGGGTCTGGGCTGAGGGGGAGCCCTCTACACACACACACACACCCCTACTTGTGGCTCTCAGTGCCCATCCTGGTCTTGGTGACCCACGTGCTGGCATTGAAGAATGGGCTGATGCAGACCCCACCCATGGGATGGCTGGCCTGGGAACGTTTCCGCTGCAACATCGACTGCAAAGAGGACCCAAAAAACTGCATCAGGTAAGCCTGCACCTGGCCCCTGAGGGCTACACCCAGGGCTGCCCACCCAGGGAGGCTGGAGACCAGGTGACTCCTGGCAGATCAGACACTGTCCTGTGACTTGCCCCTGCTCAAGGCTCTTGCGTCATCATTCATGTGAATTTCTGGGGCCGGCCCTCTGCTGATCACGAAGGCTATTCCTCAGAGCAGCCAACCCACCTCTGCGAAGCTCTGAGGAAGGGACCGGAGGGCAGGCCCGCCCTGAGACACCCCACCTCCTTTGTCCCTCCGCAGCGAACAGCTGTTCATGGAGATGGCTGACCGGCTGGCAGAGGACGGATGGCGGGACCTGGGCTACACATACCTCAACATCGACGACTGCTGGATTGGCGAACGCGATGAGAGAGGCAACCTGGTGGCAGACCCCAGGCGTTTCCCCAACGGCATCGCCCACCTGGCTGACTATGTGAGCCTTCAGCTGGGGGACCACTGCTCTCACTCACCCATCTTTGGGCTCGTTGATGCTGTCCCAGATTGAGGACCAAAGGCTGGGGGGCAGGGGACAGAACCATGAATTTGGGCCCATTGTTGTGGGTCAGCAATTGGGTAGAGCATCTTAATGATCATGGGAATCCAGGAGGGCTCCCAGGAGGAGGTGGCCCTTGAGCTGATCCCAGAGAGGGAGCATTTGAAGCAGAGGAGGAGGCTGAAGCAAAGCCACTGCCCCAGGGTAGGAAAATCCTTCGTAAGGGGTGAAAGCCTAACCAGCACACTGGGCAATGGGGAGCCCTGGAGGCTATAAAGAGCTTGACCACATATGCTGTGAGGAGGTTCCCTGAGGGTTCCACTCTGTCTGCACCCCACAGGCTCACTCCCTGGGCCTGAAGCTAGGCATCTACGCAGACTTGGGTAACTTCACCTGCATGGGCTTCCCGGGCACCACGCTGGACAGGGTGGTCCAGGACGCGAAAACTTTCGCCAAGTGGAAGGTGGACATGCTGAAGCTGGACGGCTGTTACTCTACCCCCCTGGAGCGGGCCGTAGGTGGGTTCCCTCACTGGCTGGGCGAGTGGGTACATAGACAGGGGTAACCTGCGAGGCCCACCGAACCCACCTGGCTGAGCCTGGTCTGTCTCTGGCCGCTGAGTGGTAGTGTTTACCAAGCCTTCTCACCCTCGGGCCCTGGACATAGAGGACACCTCTTGAGCCCGTTTTCTCACACTTGGCGGGACAGTGTTTGAACTGAACTGGCCCCGCCTATTTCTTATGCCTCCTTTGCTCTGAAACGTGGGGTTTGGACTTCCCAGGGTACCCCAAGATGGCTGCTGCCCTGAACTGGCCCCGCCTATTTCTCATGCCTCCTTTGCTCTGAAACGTGGGGTTTGGACTTCCCAGGGTACCCCAAGATGGCTGCTGCCCTGAATGCCACAGGCCACCCCATTGCCTTCTCCTGCAGCTGGCCAGCTTATGAGGGGGGCCTTCCCCCAACGGTAAGCAATGAACCCCGCATCCAGAACTCCTCACTGCCCCTGGCTCCAGGGAGGTGGCTCTGCAAAGTCAGGGCTGTTGTCATAGCTGTCCGCAGGTGTTGGTGGTATCTAGAGAGAGAGTTGTAAGACCCCAGAGGGGAGCCCTAGCTAGCCCAGGATCGTAGAGAAATGGGGGCCAAAGGGCTGCCTTCAAGGCGGGGGAGCTGCATGTGGTCACGCACAGCCTCCAGCAAGTGGTGAGGCCAGTGGGCTGGGAGGTGGCCAGTACCGAGACCTTGAGTGAGGGCCTGCTGATATTTTGTCAAGGGCCCCTTGCCATGGTTGATGCCAAGAGCAAGCCAGTCAGATTCCTAGACCTCAGGCTCTGAGGAAGTTGGGAGAAGGCTGGTGGGTGTGCAGTGGAGATTGTGAGTGGAGCCCGGAAAGGTTGGGGTCAGTCCTCAGCAGGGCACGTCCTCTTGGAGCGTCAGTGTCCCACACAAGCTCCTTCCTCACCCGGTGGGCGGCCTCCAGTCAGGGCTGGGTGGGCCTCCCGGCAGCCAGCGAGGTGTGACATGTGGGTTGGACTCTGCCTCTCTGCCTCGCAGGTGAACTACACCCTCCTGGCTGACATCTGCAACCTCTGGCGCAACTACGACGATATCCAGGACTCCTGGAGCAGTGTGCTGTCCATCCTGGACTGGTTTGTGGAGTACCAGGACATCCTGCAGCCAGTGGCCGGCCCTGGGCACTGGAACGACCCAGACATGGTAGCAGTCATGCCTGCCCTCCCTGCCCAGGGGCTCGCTGGCTTCTAGGTTTGGGGACAATGTTTGCAGACTATGTCCCTGATCCAGTTGCACCTGTCTCCCAGGCAGCCTGTTTTCTGCTTCGGATCAGAATGTTCCCGGGAGGAGGGGCTAGGAATGTCCATTGTGAATAGTCTTCCCAGGAGATTTTGGGGTTCTCTAAAGGTTCATCTCACATACTTTGGGCATGTTGTTAGGAGAGGCTGTCCATTGGAGAGGGACATCATGCTTGGAAAAGTGGAGGGACAGCAGAAGAGGAAGACCTTCAATGACGAACTGACACAGTGACTGCAGCATTGGGCTTTGTCAGAGGTGGTAGACTGGAGGGTTCAGGTCTGTTCACAGGGTCGCTGTGAGTTGTACTCAACTCAACGGTAACAAAGCTCTCGAAGGGAACTCTGGTGGCCTAGTGGGTAAGGAGTTGTGCTACCAGCCCTGAGGCAGGCAGTTTGAATCCACCAGTTGCTCCATGGGAGAAAGACGGGCACTATCCCGTGGGACTTACAGCCTCCGAAGACCCACTGGAGGGTCAGCTGTGAGTCGGTCAACTGATGACAATGAGCTTGAGTTTTGGAAACTCTAGAAGGTGGAGACTCTGAGTGGATGTTGTTCACTGGTGGGTGAACATCGTGAATATGCCTCACAGCTGACGCTCTCAGGACTGGGTCTGCCTCCTGCCCTGGCAGCGCAATGAAATCTGGCTCCCTTATACCTCATTAGCACCCTCAGTGCCTGCCCCCCTCCAGACAGACCTCTTCACTCAGCCAGCAAGCACAGGTCCCCTGTGAGGCCAGCTGACGGGGCCTGGCTGGAGGGACAGAAACAGGCCTGCTGGAGAGGCCGCTCCAGCGCCACCACTTGTTTGGGCAAATTACTTACTGTTTAATCTGGGCCTCAGTTTTGTCATCTTGAAAATGGGAAGTAGCAGAGGCTAAACAACGTAACCCTTTAAAAACTTGGCACAGTCTCTGGCATGTATGAATGGCTTGTTCATTTATGAACATGTACTTAATGTGTCTCTGGGTGACGCACATGGTGATACGCTGGACTGCAAGCTGTAGTTGGTGGTTCAAACCCAACAAAGGCGCCTTCAGAAAGCTCGCAGCCTCCAGCCCTGTGGAGCTGTTCTCTGTGCACATGCGTTTACTGTGAGCTGACAGCAAAACACCAGTGTTGAGTTGTGGCCACTTGTCCCAGCTGTGGGGGGAGCTGGGTGACTGGTGGCAGGAATGCAGGATGTTGAGGCCTGACTTCCACCACTGGCCCCTGGAATGAATGTCTCTACCCATCTGCATCCTGGTTTATCAACACTGTTGGCCACCGAATCTCACTCGATCATCTATAAATCGTAATACCCCAGAGCATTCATTCATTGCCTCCGTTTTCTTGGCTAAAATAAGAACAAACTGGGCCCAGGTGGGTAAATGCCTCCACTGGGGAGTGGGCTTCACGGAGACTTCACCTGCCTGGCCTCTTACTCACTTCCCCTCTTGTCCTGACAGCTGCTCGTTGGGAACTTTGGCCTCAGCTTCGAGGAAGCCCAGTCCCAGATGGCCCTGTGGACAGTGCTGGCGGCCCCTCTGTTCATGTCCACAGACCTGCGGACCATCTCCGCCAAGGACATGGGCATTCTGCAGAATCCACTCATGATCAAAATCCACCAGGACCCCCTAGGCATCCAGGGGCGCAGGATTGTCAAGGTACCAGGACGAGGGCTGAGGAGGTGGGCCCAGGTGCCTGAGATTGCAGTCCTGGGGCCAAAGGGGAGGAGTCTCAAACCCACCCAGTCCTCCCCAGGTGGGCACCCTGCCTGTTTACTGTGTTGGGGAACTCGTGCCTGGAGCTGCACCAGTGCTCCCTTCTCACCCCACCGGGCTGCTGGGAGTTAAGCAAGGGGGTGTAGGCCCCCACAAGTGTCACTGGAACCTGGGTCCCTGGGTTTGGAAGCATAAGCTTCTACATGAGCCTGAGATGTCATCCAGACAGGGCCTCCTGGCAGGGTGCATGGAGTTGTTTCAGCTGAGAATTGCTACCACTTCTGCTACTCATTGCTGCTGCTACTGTCTCTACTCTCCAAAATACTAAAGAGCAGTGATATCAGTTTGAGGACTAAGGTGCGCCTGATTCTGGCCATGGTCTTCTCAATCACTTGCTATGCATCAGAGAGCTGGACAGTGAATTAGCATGACAGAAGAATTGATGCCTTTGAACAGTGGGGTTGGAGAAGAGCACTGAATAGCCTATGGACTGCAGAAAGAACAAACAGGTCTTAGGGAAAGTGCAGCCAGAGTGCCCCTTGGAGGCCAAGATTATGAGGCTGCATTTTTCATACTTTGGACGTGGACCTAGGCAAGGCTTTTCCTGGGAGAAGGGACATCATGCTTGGAAAGGTGGAGGGTCAGCGAAGGAGAGGAAGACACCCCCCCCAGGGATATGGATTGACACAATGACTTAAGCAATAAAGGCTAATGTGACAGAGATTGTGAAGATGGTACCGGATAGTGTAGGGTTCAGGCGTGCTGTTCATAAGGTCACTGTGAGTCGTACTCGACTACAAGGCATCTAACAACAACTGTTACCTCTATGGTTAATACTACTGCTGCTGCTACTAACCTGTTCCTACTGTTACCCTCCTGTTCCTGCTCCTGCCATTACCACCACTGCACCTGTTGCTACTACTGCTTCTGGTACTTCTGGTACTAGTACTGCTGGGCTACTCTTCCGCTGCTTGCTGCTGCTACTATTACTCTTGCTAGTATTAATACGACCATTACTGCTGCTGCAGCTGCTACTACTAATCAGGTATTTGCTGAGCACCGACTGCGCGCTGAGCGCTGAGCATTCTCGATCTGTTTTGCTAACGAGGAAACAGAAACAAGGGTTGGAGGAACTCACTCGGGGCCACGCGCTGGCAGGTGGGCAGTGGTGCCGCTGCCGAGCCTGGCTGTCTGCCCTGTGAGGGAAGTGTCCGACCTCAGAAGTCGCCTGTAGAACTGGGATGTCCTGGCGAACCTTCTGGAAGATGGAATGCGCCCTCACGCCCAGCTCCTCCGCCCCTCGAGGCAGAGTGCCTCCTGGGTGGCCTCCATCCTTGGGGAGCCACCTCGGGGCCTGCACTTGCCCCCGGCCATGTGTCTGTCCCTCCTGTCACCTCCGGGCTCTTTGGAGCAGCAGCCCGTGTGTGACACCTGCGTCAGCTGTGGCGTGGGCACTGGCACAGGCCCTGGCGTGCACGTGTGCCACAGAGGCCAAGCTCAGCTCTGTGGGCCCCTGGAGCCCATCAGACTCGGTGACGCCAGTGTGCCTGGGTGCCCAGAGCTCCAGGGAGGACGAGGACGCCAGGGTCCACCTGAGCAGAGACTCGTCACTGCCTATCTTCCGCACGCAGGAAAAGTCCCAGATTGAAGTGTTCCTGCGGCCGCTGTCCCAGAAGGCCAGTGCGCTCGTCTTCTTCAGCCGCAGGACGGACATGCCATACCACTACTCCACCTCCCTCAAATGGCTCAACTTCACCAGCGCCAGCGTGTATGAGGTCAGGGTCACCGCCAGGGCCTCCCTCCATCAGTCTCCCCGGGCGGGTGTTGGGTGCTGAGGGTGGTCCTGGCTTACACGCGGGCTCCCCTGAGCTGGGGGCCTGGCTCTCCTCCAGAGCTGGCGATGGCGGGTTGTGGGTGGTGCTGTTACAAGCTGGGTCAGGGGGTCCCACAGCCTGCGGTGTGCCCCCTTTTCACTGGCACAGCCCTCACTGCCATACCATGTTCTTGAGGCCTCCGTTGGGCCTCTTCGGCATTCATGGGAAATGCAGGTGCCCACTTCTGGGAGGCCCAAGCACACAGGCGACAGTCCAGGCCCCTGTGCTCTTGGGGTCTCCACATGGCCATCCTCAGGGTGGCACTAGGAATGTCCCCTTTTCTCCCCACCCCCCCTAATTTGCAGGCCCAGAACGTCTACACAGGCGAGATCATCAGTGACCTCCACATCAAGACCAAATTCACAGTGACCATCAACCCCTCTGGTGTGGTCATGTGGTACTTGTATCCCATCCACTATGAGACAGAGGCCATGGACAGGACTTAGGTGGCACCACGGGGCCTCACAGCTTGGCGAGGGCAGTGAGCAGGTACTCTGCTGCCACAATCCTGACCTCATTACACGCCAAGTGCATTCTCATCTGGGTCCCACGCCCTGCCCGAGCGTCGGCACGTTTGGGAACTGGTCTGGGGCAAGTGCCTTTGGCCTTCCGTCCCCAACCTTGTCTGGACAATCCAGCCAGCATCCTGGGCCCCGGAGGCGGGCACTCATCTCAGCGGCGTCCAGCCTCGGGCCCATTGTTGACCCGGAGATCAGGACCTGGGTTCCTAGCACAGGGCTGACTGCTGTCAGGGGCCTTGAACTGTGTGCTTGGCATTCCTACCTGGGGGAGGCCCTGCTGACGGGAACTCTGTGAAGGGGAGGGTCAGAGAGAGACCTCCGCGCCCTCTGGCCCCCAATAAAGTTCTGAGTCCAGTGGTTTGTAAGACTGACTGGATTATGGATGGGACAGTGTCAGAGCTGGTTCCCAGACCCCCACACAATCCAGATGTGCGACAGCTCCTGGTCTCTCATTTGCTCAGGGCAGAGTATTCTTTCTAGAAATGCCAGCCTCCCTCGTCCCAGGGCTGGTGGTGTGGCAGGTAGCAGTGTAGCTGGGCCCTCTGAGTCCTCTCCAACCTCACGCAGTTCAGATGCTTCTGGACCCACCAGTCCCCAACCCCAGTGAGCAGACCCAAGAGCTTAGTCACTGTCCTAGTGCTCAGCTCAGTGACCCCCTTTCCTTTTTAATTGAAATTTTATAGAGATTTTGCATTTCCATTCATTCATTGTTGCACATGTTTTCCCCTGCCCACTCCTTCCTCTTGTTGGTTTTTCTCTTTGAAAAGTTAAAAAAAAAAAACCCTTTCATTATTATACAGCCCCTACCCCTCCAGTCCACTCCACTCCACCATGCAGCTCTCATTCTGGACTCCTGTCATGACAATAATACCTAATCATATATTCCTTTCAAACAGTTCTCTCCCTTATCTGTTTCAATGCGGTATACATTATTGATCCCCTCTTCTTAGATTCCCTCCCAATCCCGATGTCAGTTCTGTTTTACATTGGCACTATGCAGTATTTGTCCTTTTCTGACTGAGATACTTCACCCAGCATAATGTCCTCCAGGGTCACCCATTTTGTATAATATTTCATGAGTGCCTTGTTTTTCAATGCAGCACAGTATTCCATTGTGTGACTGTACGAGAGCTTCTCTATCCAGTCGTTTGTTGATGGTACTTGGGCCCCTTTCTGAGGAGTCCCTGGAGGCCCAGTCAAGCACTTGGCTGACTACTAGCTGAAAGGTTGGTGGTTCAGCTCCACCCAGAGCACCTCAGGGCCTCCTGATCCACAGACGTGGTAGCTGCGTACAGTTCTCTCACAGCTGAGTCCCCACGAGCTGGAGCGGGTCCTCACATCAGGAGTGGGTCCCCACGAGCCGGAATGAGTCCCCACGAGCTGGAATGAGCTCAGTGGCAGCGGCAGCAGCCTCTCTCTGACAGGGTTTGATACCGTGACACCCTGGACAGGGGCCTCAGCCCCGCCATGCCTCTGGCCCAGCCCCTCCACCTCTTTGTGGTACTTGAAGCTTCCCTGGTTCTTTTACTCTCTCCCAGCCTGCCTGCAGGGGAGACTCAAATCTCCTTGCTGCTTCTAAGACAAGTCCAGCAGCTCCCACCGAGCAGTCCTCAGTGTATTTTCTATTCCAAGGGAAATGGCGCAGCAGTCTAAGTGACAAAAATGACAGGACCTGACTCCTCCCCCCCCCACTTTGGCTGTCATTTCCCTGCATCTGCTATAGTGGCCCAGGCCATGGGCTCCTGCCCTGGACATCTCTTCCAGGTGCCTCACTGGGATTGAGGTTTAGAGTTGGTGTGTGACACACGGACCCCATCATTTTATAATGTCATGATGTCCCTCCCAGGGAGGTGATGGAGGAGAATGACCAAGCAGAAACTGTCCATTCAAACCTCCTGGGCACTCTGATAAACAGTCCGAAGATCATGGCAGCCAACTGGAGGCTTAGTAGGTAATTTGGAAAAGTCACTAAAACAATGGACTACCACAGTCTTCAGCAATAGAGAAGGAGAGGGGTTAAAAACAGCCTAGTCATGGGAGCTCTGGTGGCCTAATGGCAAGAAGCTGCTCTGCAATCCCAGAGGTTCAAATCTACCAGATGCTCTGCCGGGAAAGGAGGGACAGTCTCCTCCTGTACCAGTCAGATCCGATTTGATGGTACACACACACACACACACACAAAATAATAATAAAAAAATTAAAAAAAAACAGCCTAGTCAACCCTGAGGAGGGGTCCTGGAACCCAACTTCTAGGCCAACAACATTCTACTACACATTGTAATCAAGCTGTCCAAAACCAAAGGATCTCAAAAGTATAAAGGTAAAAATGACCCAGCACGTACATGGGAATCTCTGTAAGACTGAACATATGAAACCATGGAGACCAGAAGGCAATGGGATTGAAAGTGCCGAGGTGAGTGCGGAAAGATCTCAACCAAGAAGTCTCTAGTCTTCCAAAAAGCAAAGAACACCCGACTCATTCTTTGAAGCCAACATTACCCTGTTCCCAAAGATAAAGAGAACACAAGAAAACGACATACCAATACCCCTTGTTGTTGGATGTCACCAAGCTGAGGATGATTTCATAGTGACCCTGTGAACAACAGATCTGAACGCTGTCTTATCCCGTGCCATCCTCCTCATCTCTGACAAAGTTGGGCCACTGCTTCAGTCACTGTGTCAATTCATCTCATTGAGGGTCTTCCTCTCTTTCGCTGACCCTCCACCTTTCCAAGCATGATGTCCCCTTTCAAGGAATAGCCTTACCTAGCAACATTCCCGAAGTATGTGAGACGAAACTCACCATCCTTGCCTCCCAGGGGCACTCTGGCTGGACTATTCCCAAGACACATCTGTTTGTTCTTTTGGCAATCCACGGGCTATTCAGTGTTCTTCTCCAACACCACAACTCAAAGGCATCACTTTTTCTTCTCTTATCCTTATTCTTTGCTCAGCTCTTAGATGCATCGCAAGTGACTGAAAAGATCATGGCTTGGATCAGATGCACCTTAGTCTTCAAGCTGACATCATTGCTCCTCAGTAATTTAGAGAGGTCCCAGACAAAACACGTTCCTAGTTCAATACATCTCCTGATCTCCAGACTGTTGGTACCAAGGGTGTTGACTGTACATCCAAGAAGATGACATCATTGACAAGTTCAATCTTTTCTCCATCTATCAAAATGTTACTTATCAGTCTAGTGGTGGAGATTTTTTTTTCCTTCTTGATGTTGAAATGTTATCCATATGGAAGGCTGTAGTCTTCAATCTTCTGCAGCAAACATTTCAAACCCTCCTTATTTTCCTTAAGGAAGGCTGTGTCATCTGCATAACACAGGATCCTGCAGCCACATTCTTCATAGAGCCAGCTTCTGAAAAGATTTTCTCAGTATAGATTAACAGTTATGGAGAAAGGATAAAACCCTGAAGCACACCTTTCCTGATTTTAAACCGTGCAGTGTTCCTTTACTCTGTTCAGACAATAGCTTCTTGGTCTAGGTTTAGGTTTCATATGAACATAATCAATTGCTCTGGGATTCCCATAAATATCCCTTATGAGTATGGATTTCAAAATCAATAAAATAAAAGCAACTGGACGCAAGAGCATATTAAGCGTATACACCAACCAAGTGGGATTTATCCCAGGAATGCAAGGCAACTGACAATATCTTCTAAAATACCAATCACTGTAACATGCTACATTATAAAGTTGTTGTTCTGTGCCATAGAGCTGCCTGCAACTCATAGCGACCCTTTGTACAACAGCCCTAAACCCTGCTCTATCCTGTGCCAA